CATTTTTCTAAGAAAATATACAGATTTTTTTAAAAAGGAGGTGGCTCAAGACTTCTACACAATGTGCCTTGTTTGGTAGCTTCCACTAGAGGTCATCATAATAAACTTATGCATCTGGCTTAACTGAGGTTTACTAAATGTAAAGAGATCTTGACAAGTTAAATACTTTAAATAATGGCATAATGTGTCCATCTTTCCAGTCAGAAGACAAATGAAAAATATAGATGCATAATAACTTCTGCAGTTTATCATCACAACTGAGAGAAGCCAATCTCACTTTTAATGGCACAGGCATTTTCGTTTTTCATATGATCCTTTTCCTCTTCTTATTACGGTGGCCCTGAGAGGCCAAACGGACTGCAACTTCAGAAAACACTTGCCAAAAGTAAAATGCTGCAAAAAGAAAAATGCTGCAAAAAGAAAAACACCTGCAAAAAGAAAAACGCTGCAAAAGCACACAAGACACAACAGAAATGTTTCTGGGGAGACAATAACCCGACGGACCAGTTGCACGAACCAAAACATGCTAACAAGTGCACTGGGACTGGGAAGGAACAACATTTGTCTCTTATATATGATACACCTATATATGCACTGTCAAAGATACTTGTCTTGAGTGAAGATTTAAGGTGATAATACATATAAATAACTGTAACTTGAATCTGTACTGAAGCTCAGTATTTGACACAGAGTTCATGTTCACTGCTGTAATAGCTAATAATGATTAATATAATAACTATAATGTTGGCCATATTATATTTACATTACCAAAGTGATATGACTTTAGTCTCATGAACAACATTAGCTAATTGTTATTTACTAACGAATCTTAAATGACCGTTCAGTACAGAAATGAAGCCCAAAAATCATGTTTTACAGTCCTGTGGTCTCACCCTTTAGATACTTATCAAATCACACAAAGCTCTTGTAGAAACAAACAAACAAACAAATGAACAAAATATGTTCTCCTTCATTTCTGTCAAACAAAGTTGTATGACATGTTTCCAGTGGTTAGTATCATGGTTGCTAGGCAACCTGGGAAGCGCGATGGAGACTAGACCGTCTCATCCCAAGTGTTTGCAACAAACTTGCCGTTTATTTTGCAAATCGAGCTCGACACTGCCCCTAGCGTCCTGGAGCACTTCCATTGTGATTTGGAGTTTGCATGTGTTTTGGATTTTGTACGTGTTTTGGATTTTGTACGTGTTTTGGAGTTTGCGTGTGTTTTGGCTTTTGTACGTTTTTTGGATTTTGTACGTGTTTTGGAGTTTGCGTGTGTTTTGGAGTTTGTACGTGTTTTGGAGTTTGCACGTGTCTTGGTGTTTGCATGTGTTTTTGTCACGGTCCTGGGTCAGTGACCCAGTGTTTTGAGTTTCTTGTGCCTCTGTGTTTTTTGTATTATGTTCTTAGTTCTCTTTGTTGTCCCAGCTTATTCTTTAGTGTAGTGTCTTAGTTTGGTTTTCTTGTATTCTGTTTAGTTCTTTAGTATTTAGTAGCTGCCCTCTGTGTCTCTTTGTTGTTGGTTTTGTCTGTGTTTCTTAGTTGCTCTGTCTCCCTTAGTCTAGTTTGCGTCTTCCTGTTTTACTTTGAAGGTCTGTGTCTCATGTGAGTGTATCCTACTTTGCTCCCTTGTCTCGTCAGTTCTGATTTCTCCCAGCTGTGCTCTCCTTCTGTGTCTCATTCCCCTCGTTACTTCCCAGTGTATTTAAACCCTGTGTTTCTCTGAGTCAGTGTCGCGTCGTCTCTCTTGCTGTGTGGGTCTCCCTGTGAGTTTAGTTTGTGAGTTTAGTTTGTGAGTTTAGTTTGTGAGTTTAGTTTGTGAGTTTAGTTTGTGAGTTTAGTTTGTGAGTTTAGTTTGTGAGTTTCCAGTTTAGTTTACTTTACTTTGTATGACTTTCTCCTGCCAGCAAATAAAAGCTGAGTTCTTTGTGTTTAAACCTCGTGCCTGAGTGCCTGCATTTTGGGTCCAACTCCTGCCTGCCGCACAGCGATTCATGACAGTTTTGGTGTTTGCATGTGTTTTGGATTTTGTACGTTTTTTGGAGTTTGCGTGTGTTTTGGAGTTTGCAGGTGTCTTGGTGTTTGCACGTGTCTTGGTGTTTGTGCGTGCTATTTGGAATTTGTAAGTGTTTTGGAATTTGTACATGCTTTGTCTCTAGGGGCCACCGTACTCAGCGCCACCGTATCTTATCATCCTCTCTCTCACACACACAAACAGGTATTTGGATTCCAGCTGGAGGACGAGGACATGGCTGCTTTAGGAAGCTTGCATGATGGAAGACATGTTACTTGGGATCCAACAAATGTGGAATAAGAATAACTGGGAAGATGGAGGGTATGTTTGTCCATGAACTGGTGATGGCTGAGTGAGGAATTGATTTGAATATGTTCTTGGTTAATTATTTTTCTTTGTGACAGTTTTCCTGGAAATAGACTCAACTGTGATGTCAAAGTTTATTGAGCTACATCTTCAGATAATGTGTAGAAAAACACACACGAAGGACAAAACCATTCTGTGAGTGTGTGAGTGTGAGAAAGGTGTTGTAAATACAGATAATGGTATCTTTACCTTTCCAGAAATGTGATTGTGAGCTTGACTTGATCTTGAATAAAATCTACAAATTATTATTATTTTTTTTCACATTCAAATAAAGGGGAGGGATCAAGTGGTTTCTAAGACGAGAGGACCTTGGTATTGTATCCATGGTTGCAGTATATAAAACAACTACGTAAACTCAAGGCTGTGACCTTTTATTGTCCCTTTTATTGCCCCTCTTCGCTTATTCTGCAAAGGAACTCTTTAGTTTACTTCACCTGTAAAATCTGTACGTGACTATCAAAATACCTTAAGCAACATGTAGCATTTGCAAGTAAGTCATGAGACAAAAGGAAAAACAAAATGGCCCCAAAGCTTAACCAGGTTTGGGAGGCATGAAAGTGAGCTGTAACTTTATATAACACAAGCTATCAGGGTTTAGCAAATAATTTGCTGGCTACACTGGCTCTGGTAACATTCAACTTCACTAAACCTTATCATGTTAAATTCAATTTTGATATTTTACATAATTTAGTATGAGGTGGATTCTCATGTCCACCTTTATTCTTCAGCACAGCCTGAACACTCTCTTTATTATTGTTAATCTGTGGATCTCTTTCACAGCGCATTTTTGTCCTATCTTCCTCCCCTCACCCCAAACTAGTCGCTGTTGCCCCTGAGCTTGGCAAGAGGTTTCTTCCTGTTAAAATGGAGTTTTTTCCATCCCACTGTCACCAAGGTCCCTGCTGATAGGTCATGTTTTTTTTTGTTCTCCTGTTTTCTGTGTATTCGTATATACCATATAAAATACAATGAAGCAACTGTTGCTGTTTGTTTATAATAATAATAATAATGTATACTTTATTGATTTATGTGGGGAAATTCCTCTCTGCATTTAACCCATTCACTCAGTGAAGCAGTGGGCAGCCACCAGTCTAGCACCCAGGAAGGATTTAGGGATGGTACCTTGCTCAGGGGTACCTCAGGGTAGGACATTCAAAGCTCTTCTTTGGATGTTGGCTACTAAATGATCTCACACTACATCACTAATGTTGAAGTTCAGTCCAACCCATGATTGATAGTGTGTTTGGGATCATTGTGATACTAAACAAAAAAAAAACCAAAACCCGAAGCTGCTGCCAATCAGATGCTTTCCAAATGGTGTTGCACTGTGGATCAAAATCTGACAGCACTTATCTGTACTCATAATTCCATCAATTTTGACATGGCTGAAATGAAGACCCAGGCATCACAGAGCCTCCACTGTGTTTTACAGATGGGTATACACATACAGTGCTGCACCTCTCTTCTGACATCATCTGTACACGACTATTTAAATCAAATATTTCAAATTTGGATTAATGACTCAAGACCTGTCACCACTGATTTTCAGTCCAGTTCTTGTGTAATTTGGCATACCTCAGCCTTTTCTCCCCATGTCCCTTCCTACTGAGACCATTTTTGAAGAAGCTTTAATTAACATTAAGGCCAGATATCTCTCAGGTCTGTCTTTTTAAAAGACATGAGGATGTTAATGATCTTCTTTTGTGCTTCACATGTCCAGTATCCTCAAATTTCTTAAGGGCACACTGCACACCATCCAAAAAGAACCCAAGCTTTCAACTAACAGTTCTTTGGGAGTCATGTTGCTAATGCAAAAATACTATTTTATGTTTGTCAAACTGTTACCTTTAGTTTAATCTACAAAAAAATGTCAAAGGAAAGAAAACAAAATGTGTTTTTCTACCAGGTGGCTGGCAACAAAGAGCCTAAATGTTTAAAATTGGTTCTCTGCCAGGTTGGCTTACATGTAGTCACAACAGTTTCATCTCTTGAAGCAGGCACGTTTTCAATGCTTGAATGATGATGTGGCCTCAGTGTGGCTCAAACCCCCCCAAAAACAAAACAATTCCTTTCAGGTACAAAGATCACATACAAGGACTGGACTGAAAATGATATGGGAAAAAAAACAGAAGCAGACAACTTCCAAAGAACAAATCTCAAAGATCTTCAGAAAACACTGCTCAGGACCACAGTATACAGGTAGAACAGACGTGGCTACACGAGGAATCTGTGCTTAAGACCATACCCATGAGTCCACTCCCAGCATTCACATCTTGAAAAATACTGAACCATTTCACAAAATAAAACAATGACAAAATCATTGAGTTAGCAATATCATTTATTCTTTCTCCCTCAGCTTAGAATCACTGTTGTACATAAGTTACATTTTGTTTTCTCAATTTCACAGGTTCTTGTTTTCCTCTTCAAACTTCCAGTTTGACCTCCCTCTCATATCAAAAAAAGAAAAAAAAAAAAAAAAGCAGATTGTATTATACAAAAATGCAAACCAATTTTCACACAGTGAATTCTCTTACAAAGTCATAAAATGGCGTAATAATGGCTACATCCACATTGGAGGAAGATAATTCTAGACATTCCTTAATGGAGTATAATATACATATAAAAAAAATTTTTTCTTGCTGAAATCAAACCTGTACCTTAATTTAAGAGATATTTTACACGGGAGTAATTATATAAAAAAGCCATTTGCGAATTTCCCCAGAAAGTCCGGGAATAAAATGTGAGCCTCAAACAGCAGTAACAGAGTTCAGTGGTCAAGGGTGGTAGAGGAGGGGTTTAACTGGTTATGCAAATATGGGCAGCGGTTCCACTCAGAAACAAAAAAAACACACCGAATATTGAAATTAACGTCTTTGCTATTTGCTGTATAAAACACCCCATATATCACGGTATGCCAGCTTTTGCAAAGCTAAAGTCATTTCGGCTCATTCAGACCTGCAGTGACCCGTTTGGCAGGATCAGCACTGTGGGAAATTTCATCAACTTCTGTTAGAAACAAAATACTGAATTAACACCATTAACTCTTTAGCCAATTACCGACTAACTCAGTTCCCTGTTGTTGTTTTTTGTTAAATTAAGCTGATGGCCCTATTTCTTGCAAATAGTTGTAAAAAAACAAGAACAAAACAAAACGAACAAAAAAAAAAAAAAAAAAAAAAACTCCTCCCCGCCAAAAAAAACCCAAATAAAAATTAGAAAACACACACACACACACACACACAGACACACACAAAAACAAAGTGTGAATGTCACCAAGTGCTCATAAAGCTGCACACATCAGGTCAGGTGTTGACTAAGACTTGCATGTCAATAAATTCACTCAACTAATGCCAAGAAAAAAAAGAAAATCTACAAAAAGCCAAGTCAACATTCTTTAAAAAAAAAACAAAGAAAAAAGCTAATCAAATCTTGACAGATTTAGATTATTGTATCATTGCATTTTTTGGGTGGTGGGACCAAGGTCTGAGTCCATCATGCCAATTCAGTGTTAATTAGCTCCTTAAAAAAAAAAAGAAAGAAAAAAAAAAGCGCTAGATGAAGACTTGAGGCTAACCTTTCGTCAAAGACTTCTTGCTAATTCTCTTGGGGGCAATGGTGGGCTAAACCCCAAAACTTTCCTAACACCTCAACTCTATCACTCGGTACAGCACAATGAAGGGGGAGAACAACAATAAACAACTTATCCAGGGTACATTTACAATACAATCTAGCACACACACAAAACATTTCCATAAATTTTCCAAAGTTATGAATTTTGTCTTCTTCGGAAGCATAGTCTAATCTTTGTTTGAACACAAAAGATTTAAGTGAACACACATCAATTCACACAGAAGTCCTTCGTCTGGGAAAGGATAAAGTCTGTGTTGGCAACCAGTGGACCGAAAACAAATTTAAAAAAAACCCAAAAAACAAAAACATTTTGCTGATTCTAAGTAGAGATCATTTAATATAAATGCTGAGCGAGTAGGATAAGAGGTGGCACGTTAATAGTGCTTTAGTATATTAATGTATGGATACATACTCATATGTATAAGTGAGCTGTGTACCTAAACAATAAATGTAGCAAGGAGCAGCCAGAGGCTTTAAGTGTGGTTGGAAAACTTAAAAAAAGGAAAGAAAATCCAAAACTTTTGCTGTCGTGGTGCTGACAAACTGGAAAAGATACCCATTGAACAGCCAAGATGAGGATGTTGCACAACTCAAAAACATTTGTGCCTTAAAATAATTGACTCATCCGGTGTCACCAATGTGCCAGTTTCTCAGTATTCCTCATGTGAAAGCAAAGGTTTGATGTTAAACTAAAACAACTCGACCCACAGAGTCTCCTCCATGCTTTAACCGTTCAAGAACAAGAACTCACCCGTTGTCAGCAGAGCAGTAAAACTTTTGCCAATCATGCTAACTGTTTACAAAAAGGCAACGAGCTCTCTATTGAGCATCAGCAGTAAACAATTTATATGATGGAGAAAGAGCAATAATGGTTCTAATGATGGTGATGATGACAGCAGGTTGTGAACAAAAATAAATGTGACCAAGTGAGCTGTATATCGCACCAGTCAGCAAAGACACTCAAATACACTCAATGCGAGGTGAATGAATTTATTAATCTGATCGAAGCACAGCTGTTCCTGAAGGTTTCCAGCCACTCCTCAGTAAATAACACTGCTTTCTTCAGCTGTAAACATGATTTCAAATGTACTAATGCAGCCAAGAACGCTACAACAGCAACCTTTCTGGACTTACTGCCAATTATAGCCATTTCATGACGGAGAGGAGAGTGTGTCTTAAACTAAGCTGGATAAAACCTTCACAAGGTAAGCATCATCGCCCAAAATCGTAACAATGTAAAGCAAGAAAAAAGTAAGACAAAAATTTAACAAAACATACACAAGGGAAGGCAACTTCATAGAAGTTAGGAGAACAAATGACAAGATAATCCCAATGGGGAGGCCTTTTGTGTGGCCAGATGAGAATCTCTGAGGAGGGAAATCCCTTATTTGCCTTGATGTTTTAAGGTCAACTTCACAGTCATTCAAGTGACTCCTGATACAAAAAGGTGCACCATCTCCGTCTGGTAACCTGCATGCACAAGCTCACAACAATTTTGACTGAACTGAATGCAGCAGACAGTCAGGAGCACTGGTGAAAGGCAACCAAATCACATCAGGGTCACATAAAAAACAAAAAATAAAAATAAATCAAGAGAAGCACTTAGTAGGTTCCC